CAATCACACAGGCAGGCTCAAAAGCTCACGGGGAAAAAGTACCAGTTCCTCTTGTAAAGGAACCTGAAGTACAGTCCCAAGAGCATCTGCTCATGAAACGCTTCCTGGGTACCCAGAGAAAAAAAATCCAGAAGGAAGCCAAGAGGGCCAGAGATCAGCTGCTCAAAGCCGGAGGCTGCAGACCCCACCGCCAAAGTGCCGCCACTGCTGCCACTACCATCACACCCCTAGTCCCGCTGGCGATGTGATGGTGGTGGGAGCCAGGGACCCAGATGGGTCCCAGGGACGAAGACAAAGCAGGTGCACGGTGTGGCTGGGTGCTCTGGAGGTAGGCGGTAAGCCACTTTCTCACACCGTTAAGAAGTATTTAGGAAACATCACACAAGCAAGACCACACTAGGACCACAGCAACTACAAGGAGAAAGCAGCCTACTAGAGTACCCGCTCTGCTTCTCTAACCAAAGGATCCACAGTTTGTCTCCTCTGAACTCAACTGCCTCGACTATGAGGGTCAAATTTTGGCATCAGATTTCAACGTGACAACCTTAATGCCAGCATGTCATCACGTGACAGAACTTTTCATAAACAGACGTAGAAACTAGCACTGTCTGGATAGAACTTCTGTATGCTGTTGTCTGTAAAAATTTGTTTTTTCTTTGGCTATAAATTTGCGTTATGATTCTGAAAAATAATCAACTGGCACAACACAATTGTTTCTACTGAGAACACTGACAGATTGTCACTGACTACATCTGTCCATCAAATACGGGTGGACTTTTGCCTCTGTCCTTCAGGGTCCTCTAGACAGGCTGGTTTTTTTTTTTTTTTTTACTACTGTTGGCAGGGGAATTAGGCACAGAAAAAACGACCTGCCTTACCATGGTTCTTATATAAGCTCCATTCCTTTGCTTTGATGCATTTATTCTGAGTCTATTAAAACTTCCCTTCCCTAGAAAGGTCATTTTAAACAAAAACAACATATAAAAATGTTTGTGTGCAGAAAGACACTGAACAGGGAAAATCAATGAAAAGAAAATCAGGCACAGGCAGATGTACACTAAGCACGGCCAAATTCAAATGTTACTTACCTCTTCACTTACTCCCCGGGACCTGCACACGAGCGCAATGAAAACAATCCCAAAAACAATTCCTAGAGCCATGATTACGAAGGGGATTCCAGTTACAACACTGGCTTCCAGCAGGACGTGTTTGAGTTTGCTGGCAGATGCTTCATCAATGAGAACACTCTGAGGCAGAGAGAGATGAAGAGAGAAAAAGAAAAAAAAAATTATTTCTGTTCTTCCTTTACTTCACTGCTTTACTTTTGTGAAGAGTAGGAAAACAATGTTCCCACAAGTCTCCATCTCTGCCTCATTACTTCTTGATATACTTTCCCTGTAAGAATTCTTAGCTCTCCTCGTGTGGCCAGAAGGATCATCTAGTCTGCATTTTGAAAGAAAGTAGTGGGTTTTAACTCTCTCCTTAGGAATGGAATAATATAGGCCTGGAACAATAGTGTACATCATCAAAACTAGTCCCCCAGAGCCCTCCCCGAATCCAACAAATTCAGTGATTCAACTACAGCCCAGGAACATTCACAAAAGGCCACTCAGAAAAAAGATGTGATCTTGCGAATGCTCGGCTCCGCATCTGCGCAGCTCTTTTCCTCGTGGCCAATACCTCTGAAGGTACAAGGACTGACTGACTGAGACCGTTTTGCAGGGCTGAACTTAATGCTGTGGTCAACAAGCAGCAGGAGGATGTTAGTTAAGAAACAGCAACTTCTTACCTATCACTGTATAAAACAACAAGAAAAACAGCAGTTTCTTTCCTGGTTAGCTCAAAGACAGTATTTTTGCAAGCATAAACAAACCACAACGCTGCAAGGAAACAACCAAAATATTTACCTCGTTTATATACATCACTGGGAAAATTAGTGTTCGGATGTTGCCTGTTTCACTGTGTAAAAAAAAAAAAAAATCAACAGTTAAAAATGATGGGTTTACAGCTTTTCAACTTGAGAGTTTTGAAGACAAATTATAATAGAACACTGAGTGAGGAAACGGTCCCTTCGAAAACCTCTGGGCTGTTCCTTCTTATTGCCAGTTCTCACCTCCTTACTGGAATTGAATCATCTCCATCTCCAAGATGACTAACAGATTCTTTCTAGGGGAGCAATGGCGTGTTTTGGGACTTGATGGGGAGAGAACAAGAGGAATCCATGAGAGGCTCATTAATAACTGACTGAATGACAGATTTGTCGCAGGAATGGTAAGCTAAGCTAATGTTGAAGGTTACTCGTATTCGTAAAACACAGAAACGATTGTCCAAGCAACATGCACGTAGCAGCAAAACCCCCCCAACTTTTGGCACACACAAAATAACAGCTCACTCGTAAGTCGTGTTAATGTAACAGCTCCTGGGCACTAGAAAACAAGGTGGTGCTGTTCTGAAGAAACATCACCGACTCTCCCAAGAGGATCAAGCAGATAAAATACTTCTTTTTAAATTATAACGTATAGCCAGGCTGTGCCAAAAAACATCAGCTCAGAAGCTGAGTAGGAAGAACAGCTATCACACAGCACTGGTGACGAGTAAATCAACATGTCAGAAAGACACAAGATGAAGGGAACAGCATTTCTGCACAGCTGAGCTGCAGCTCGGGGACATCCCCTCAAACTGGAGCACCCAGAAAATCAGGCAGAATCCACTTGCAACAAAGAAGAAATGGGACATTTGACTCGTACCTTACTTGGGATCGTACACTGTCCCCACGTGCAGGGTGGTACTGACTGCCAAAGTCACAGCACAAAGATTTCTCTTTACCATACCAGTGCGGTCACAGGCAAGGTACTGCCCTCCAGCTGATCAAACGAGCCCTCCCTCCTGAGCTTCAGACAGGACTTGCCTGCTGCTGTGAGATTCACCACTTGCTCTGCTTTTTGTGCTTGTCAGGGCAAGGCACAGGCAGCCCTGTCTGGGGTCACGCCTTCTCATTTGGTTTTCACGTGACCACTGCTGAGAAACGATGGTGACTACGGTATTTTTGTCTCCTAAAAGGTGTGAAGAGGAGGATGGCGTGTCCTCACTGCAGTGAGTAGCCACTCTCCAAATTCTAGCTGCACTCCGCTCTGGCAGACCTTCTCTCCGAGCAAACAAACCAGTGTGATCTAACCGATGCCATAACAAGCACCTCGTGGAACCTGTCCAGAACATCTTGCTTTTCTTGAATACTGTCTTTACTCTGCAGATGGAACTGCAAAATCTACTTGATCTCTGACAAGAGAGGATACTGTCTCTTGTAGCTGAGATTTGACTGGATTTCTCTCGCACTTGCTCTCTCCAACCAATATTCCATCTGACCACTGCAGACAAATTAATTTTCAATTATCAAAACAGATCTGAGAGATCCACCCGGCAGCAGAGAACACTTACAAAAATTCAGGTAATTTTCTGACGTGAACATTGATTTGCATCCGCTTGGCTGCTTGCAGGACAAGCCCAGTCAGCTGGGGAAGAAAAGAAATCAGTGTCAAAAAAAAAAAAAAAAAAAAAAGAAAAGAAAAAGAGTAAACGTGAAATAACAGGAACTGGGAGAATGCAATGTAGTATTTGCACTGGTGTGGACCTGGCAAGGCAAGGCAAGACCCACTTAGTGTTGTTATTTATTTTCCTTCGCCAAGATACTCTTCTAACTCATCTACCTACATTCCAGTCTGCCTCTTAATTAAGGAGCTGTGCAGAGGCTGCAGCAGAGATAAGGATGCCATCGCGCTGTGCTGTGCAAACTTCCTCTTGGGCTACAGAGAGATCCCCTTTCTTCCAGATCCAGCTGTAGTTTTGGCAAAGGCCACCACCTACAGCTGTTTGTTCTGCTTTCTCAGTACTGTTGCAGAGACTCTGCAGTCTCAGCCACAAGATAAACGCTTCTTTCTAAAGGGTGAAAACCAGGTACTGGCCACGGTCAATGGGAGTGTACAGCCACGGAGATAGTGAGCGTGAAACCCTTCTCATGGTACCGCCCCACTACACTAAGAATTGCAATTGGATGCACAGGAATATTTTCCTCATTCAAGCAGCAAAATTTAGTCTGGAGAGTGGGTGGGAACGGTGAGGCACAGAGCTCATTTTATGGTGGTACAAAAAAGCTGGGTAAGTAGGAGCAGGCTAGCAGGAAGAACCTGGCACCAAACCAGACAGCAAGCAGCATCTGCACCAGACCTTAGGAGAGGAACTATACAATTTCCTCCTGCTTTAGCTACATGTAACAGCTTGATGAGTCAGAGTACTATGCTTCTGTAAATGAGGCAGGTCCTGATTTTGCTCTTTCTGTTCACCTACATTTGTATGTGTGGATGTATAGATCAGCGTTGTACTGGTTTTAGCTGGGAGAGAATTTTCTTCATAGTAGCTGGTATCAGGCTATGTTTTGGAATTGCGATGGGAAGAGTGTTGATAACACCACAGATGGCTTAGTTATTGCTGAACAGTGCTTACACAGCCTCAAGGCCTTTTCTGTTTCTCACACTGCCCTGCCAGTGAGTAGGCTGGGGGTGGGCAAGAAGCTGGGAGGGGACACAGCCAGGGCAGCTGACCCAAACCAGCCACAGCAATATCCCATACCAGATGACATCACACTCAATGATGAAAAACTGGGGGAAAGTTGGCCAGTTTGCTGTTGCTCGAGGACTGGTTGGTGGTGACCTACTGGGATTTTTTCCCATCACTTATTTTTCTTGGGTTTGTTTCTCTTGATTTTTTAACTTAAAGCATCTTTATCTCAACCTGAGTTTTTTCACTTTTACCCTTCTGATTATTCCCCACATCCTACCTGGGGGGGAGGGAGCAAGGAGCTGTGTGGTGCTCAGCTGCCTACCAGGGTTAAACCACAAGGGTAAAACCACAGCCCATCAGCTGCAAGCTCCCTTGATTTCTGACATTTCACAGTAAGAATACACACAACTCTGTAAACTTCTGTGAAAGATATAATCACCAGACTTCTGTACCTCTCCTCTCATGACTCCGTGCTATCTAAGTAGAGTCCAACATCCACCAAACCTTTACTGATTTGCTCTCTTGGCCCACGTACAACTTCAACTTGGGAAAAACACATTAAAGGTAATACCCAAATGGTTGGGCTGGCAGGGTGAGCAGGAAAAGTAGCTTCATCTGCTTCTAAGAAATATTTTAACTCCTTCATCTCATCATTATCAGTCTAATGGCATCTCTAATTGCACAGGCACAATGGGAAAAGTATTTTAATCCTTGCTATCCAGCAAAGTTTGCTCTATATAAGCAAATACAAATAGGTCAGTTCCACATAAACTAGTACAGCTTCCCTGAGGTCAACGTGACTCTGTCGATACGCACCATCCAAGACGGTGACCTAAAGCCAAATGCTTGGATTCACCTATATAACCCTTTAAAAAAGGCTGCACTTACAGGATTGATGTCCAGAAAGGTCTCATGATATTCCTTCTTTGGGTGCATGCCCTCTATGTCCCCTATAAACTTTTGATCTGCTTGGTAAAAATGGGGAGCTGATAGAAATATCGGAGCACCTGGAATGTGAAAACACAGAAAGTCACCACCTAAAAAAGGCAGAGCAGGATTCGAGGAAGTCTTTGAGGACCTCAAAACTCTTCCCACTGTGCCATTTACAGTGCAAGGGAAAGTCCATCCTGGAGCTACAGAATCAATACTCTGACTCTGTGTCTTCAGAACAAGCAAACCTTCCCTTGTGCAGCATCAGCACAGCTTCATGTCTCAAGCTTGCGTGTGACAGGTGCGACAGCTAACCCGGCTAGGAGCGGAGGAAAAAAGCCCAAGCTCTTCACTATGGATGCAGGTACTTCTTTTTTATCCCTTGATTTAAATCATTGCTGGAGCAGACAGCATCTAACAGGAACATCCGCTCAGATCGCTCTTGCATTTTGCAAACGATCACTTGTTGGGGGCCAATTTCACTAAGCACAGCACCAAACTACCTCTTATTTCAGACAGGAAGGAGAAATACATTCCCCACGGATGTCCTTCCAGTCTGCTTCCACCGCCTGGTAACATACCTTGCTTGCAGATGCTGACGTTGAGGACGCCAGTGCCAGGGCAGTTCCCTGGCGGAATGCAGAATCCAGCATTGTCTGGGTTAACCGTCGTGTTGGCAAATACCATAGAAGAGGGCACAAAGCGGTAGGTTGGGATGCCCGCAACAGTTCCTGAGCTGTCGTACACAAGGTAAAAAGATCTGCAAGGAAGAAAAGCCAGACCGAGATTGGTTACTCCTGAGCACACGCTGACACCTGCTGCAGATGTCTCCTTGCTGATGCCTGTGTATCAACTTAAGTTTACAGTAAGCTAGAGAGGTTTGATTTAAGCTCATTCTGACAATCTTTTCTATTACATTTTATAGGCTTTTGATCAGCAAATACCCATCTCGTCATTTTGCTGCTGCACAAAATGGATGATCCTGTGCCAACTATGCTGCTGCAGGGACACAGATGCATGCCTTCAGCATTTCAGGGTCTCACTCTGGTCCCCATGTTGCTATGGTGCGTTGTGTGAGACAGCACTGGCACGTGCTACCGAGAGGGACAAGGAAAGGAACACAGTGGTGAACGACAGAACAATTTGGCAAGTCCTGAATTTAGTGTGACACACATCTGTATTGATTTAGAGAATTTCAGATAGGTTTTGTTCTTCAAAAACAGGGAAATGGGCAAGGGAGGAGACAAGGTAGAACATAAGGAAGGAGACACCAAGATTTTCTGCATCTTGTTGGCATTTCAAACAGCATTAGGTCAAGTTGTGGATCTCTGAAGAGGGTAACCTGGGTTCTCTAAAAAAGCAAGGCACAGAGGAAGATTTTGGAGGAAAGAAGCTTCAGGCAAGGTTCCTACAAATCCTTCCATTCCCCTCACTACTAGCCTTGCAAGTCAGTCCAGGCTGTCTTTCCATTCATCTTCCAAATTTTCCCTTTATCCTTATTTTGAAATAATTAACCTGATGCAGATTGGATTTTTTTTGGTGTAACTCCCTCATACCATGAATAAATGCAAAACACTCATACTGTTAGATAAAAACGTGTGAGGAAGAACACCAGCCTAACATGACAGCTCAAAAGGAATGGACGTAAATGCTCTCCCCTTTAAAGTCTGAGTGACATTTTCTTCTCCTTACCTGCAGAAATCAGAAGAAAAGATATAAATGTGCTCATCTTTGCTAATCAGTGGGTGAAAGGATGTCCCATCTGTTCCGTTGATCATGTTACATGTCTCTGTTGTCCACCAGCTCAGTGACCTGAAGAAAAAGAAGCAAAGAGAGTAAGGGTTAAAAGCTCTTTAGGCTATGGTCAGGTGATGCCAGCTCATGGTCTAAGCAAATGAGAATCAGACCTGTACAGTGCTAACTCCTCTTGCCTCAGGTCCGCTAACAAAAAAGGGGATTAAAACGGGTTTAAATTGCATCTGTCATCTCTTTAAACTGGTGCCAGGCAAGAAAGAATATGTCTGCAAGAGTTCCTCCCATATATGTAATGGTGGCAGATTTTTTTTTTTAATGGCAAAGGGATGCTTTAAGTAGGTTCGTCTTTGGTTTCTTTGCAACACACGCTGCCCCCTGAAGAAGCGTTAGATACCCAGGCACAAGATGTCCCAGCCTTGGCTCTGGGTAGAGAGCAGCAAGGAAGGGTGGTGTCTGGGAACGCTGGCTGTGTAGATGCGGGAATGCTGTCCCAGAGGTGGCTGGGATGGGTGTCCTAGAGGAGGGAGGGGAGAGGGACTGCCGAGGGGCAGTCAGGGATTCGGAGGTGAGTGTTCACAGCAGTCTGCTCTCTCTAAGGCCGGGGCTGTCTTTCTCCCATATGACACATACCAAAATACTGAGGGGTTGGTCTGAAGCTACAGCTGCCAAGAGCTACTACCACCCTCAGACAAAAAAAACCTTTTTTTTTTTTGTAAACAATGCTTATGTTCATCCAAAATGTGAAAAGGGGCAGATTTTGACAGAGGCCACACCACACTGAAAAACTTACTCTTTTCCTTTCCATTCCACAATCCTTGAGAAGTTAAGGTAGTTCGTTTCCCCACTTAAGAAAACATATTCTCCATCATCGGTTCCATTCATCTGCAAACAGATACATGAGTTTTTAATCACTCCACTCATTCTGTAACACCTGGCTGGTAACCACAACAGCACGGTAGGAGTTTAAGCTCTCATCACTGCAAATCCACCCTAGGAGCGATGAACACCTCCTGAGGTAAGTGCAATTCATTAAACCCCACCTTGAATAAAAATGAGGTGGAAGTGATTGGGTTAGATTCTTACGCCTCCCAAGCAAAGGAAATATAACGTAACATTAGTCTTTTTTTACCTTTGAAATTCGCCACTGAACAAACAGCCCTTAGCAAAAAAAATAAACCTACAGGAAATGACCTGAGCACTGCAGAAGATCTCCAAGAAACAAGGATTCCCCACAGTCCAAAACGATGCACAACCAGGAACGCTGTGGAAGCCACTAATAGCTCCACTAAAGAAATAACACGCAATTTCAGTCAATTACTAGGGAAATTGGTCTGGAAATTTTTCTAGTAGTTTGCACAACTGGCCCCACAAAGCCCGTGTTATTCAAGTGAGCACAGGCAATAGAGGAGTGGGTTATGTCCACCCTTGGAAAGCTTATCCACACCTGAGAAAGGGAGGTCAGATAAACCACTCACAGCTGTGCTGCCAGCCAGCGCACAGATACAGCCAAACGGAGGAGGGAACGTCCTTTTGCTATCCCTGCAGCCCACCTCCTGGCCTCAGTCCAAGCACACCCTTCTCAGCTGGCTGGCGATGACAGTCCCAACTGTAGCAACGACATCATTCCCCATCTAAAGCATCAGAAACTCTTGCAGATGAGTTACCTTATTAAACAAACCAAATACTGGATCGATCTCAGGATGCAAGAGATGAATGGTTGACAGGAGCCTGTCTTTGTAGCCCCACAGTAATTCATGCACGGTGTGAACTGTGAACAGGGATTCTTGGTAGAGGAGCAACAGCACCTCTGTGGCAAACTGAAGAGGGGTTGACCTGGTCCACTCCATCGCAGTCTGCCGGGGGATTGGAATAAGGGAGCAATGGTCAGATTTATTGTTGAATAAATAATACCAGCTGCATATAGAAACACAGACACATTTCAGCACTGCACGTGTCTCGACTGTGTTTTCAGTTTCGTTATTTCCACTGGCAGCAAGTAATGTGCTGGCTAACAGGTTCTTCAGCTTTTCTCCCACAGGGATGTGTTCTTGCAGATTCCCGTTCGGGCTGGCACTGGCACACAACCAGCTCAGATCCGTGCCATTAACTGCCACAGTCTTAAGAATGGATTTTAAGTGAAATGTGCAAACCTGCTCTCCAAACAGCCTGAATTTCACAAGTATATTACAGCTGGAGACGTGCTTTGAATTTCACCCGTAGGAAGTTATGGTTTACGTTTTTAAAAGCCATTTTTATAAGACAGCCATTTCTTCAAAATGCAAACAATACCAAAATTTATTTCCTTCCTAGCTGACGAGTGATTTCACAACACGTCTTTAAAAAAGCAAAAACCAAAGGAGGGAATTTCCTTGGGCAAACCAACCTGTAGTTCTTCTAGTACTGCCTGTTACAGCACATCACAGTCAAAAATCTGAACGAGAGATAATACTTACCACCGCTCAAATGCCTGGGAGGAATTGTAAATACAGTGACTGTATTATTTGCAACTTTTAGTAAGCGGAGTCCTATCTGCTATGTACAGTGCATTTAGGTATTCATTCATAAAATCAGACAAGACATTTTTGGAAATGCTGTGGAAGTCATCAAAACAAATGCACCCCGTAATTGAAGTCAATTAAACTAGCACAGGGAGTAAAGGCTTAGTCACACAGCCAACAAGTATTTTAGTACAGCCTCATTTCCCTTGGAAGGTATGACAGCTTGAGATCTGCTTGTTCTCATACTACCCCTGTGTGACACCAAAAATAATAGTCTGTCTCTGATCACCAAAATGAGACTTTCTTTGCAGAGTGCTTTCACCTAACACAGTTTGGGGGTGCATGTTTTACCTTTAATATTATTCTGAAAGCCCCTTTACATTCAGCTGTATCTGAAGCTCCTCTGCTATAATTTTCTTTTTCAGTTTGAGATGCAGACTTGGAGGCAATTTTTGCAATGTGAACAAAGACAACCCCAAGCATTCCAAGCTTCCTCATTCAGAAGTCAGAGTCCTCCCAACCATTTGGCATGACTAATTCTCTAGTTTCACTTACTCGTGGAAACTCAACAAGCCTGATTTCTGCTCGTCTCTGAAGCGTGGGTCAGTTCTCAGCACAAGAGTGAGGCACTAACGCTACAGAGGTGTATGGCGAGGGAGGAACATCATAAAAAAAAAAAAAAAAAAGCCCCCAACAACCCAAACCAAAAGAGAATGCAGTATCGGCCTGGACATAAGCTGCCTCTCTCGTTCTTCAATCACATTTATCTACCACAAAGGGAGAGACAGTATGAAGCAACAAGCTGCTAGTTATTAAGCGTGTTAGGATGATTTCCAAGCTGAAATGCAAGAGAACTCACCACTGCAGGAATATTAACTGTTCTAATCAGGTCCACTTCAGGGTCTCCAACTGACTTCTGAGGTTCAAATACATACGTCTTTGGATTCAGAGCAGATACTTTGGTACCATTGTCCAAAAACTGAACGTGCACTCTTGGCCTGTATTCTCTGAAAAACAAGAAAGTTTGCTCTCCAATCAAGTTAAGCAAGTACACGTAACATTAATTGCAATTAACTTATGGCTATTCTACTGCTTTAAGCACAAAAATGTGGGATTTTCAGTTCATTAGGAGTAGATTGATTTTTGCTACTGCTGCTGCCAGCAACAGAACTCCCCTTGGTGTCAGTGTAAGCTGAATCGGACCTCACAGGCTGCTTCCAAAAATGCCACCCACACGTTAATTGCACTTCATATTTTTGCCTCATCTTTAAATACTTC